ATGCAAGAACTCAAGAAGTATGGGGAAGTAGGGCGCATACAAGAGGGGAGAAGAGGAATGAAGAAAGCACCGAATACATACGAGACCTTGCGCGTACGAGTATCAGGCAGGTGAGAGGATGAACGGAAACACAGAAGCAGTTGTTAAGATAAGAACTTGCGAAGTGCAACGACCGCAAAAACGCCCCGCAGCAACAACCTTAGCGACAGGAGAAGTAGCTGCCGCGGCAGGCGAGATTCATAAGGGTCGCTAGTTGTACGACGGCGCCTACTCACCTGCCGTACCCCTGACCGCGGATCTCCCCTCGCGCCCGGCACCCCCACCACTCCGCCACTGCGGCACTTGGTCCGGCCATGCCGGGGGGCAGCCAGGTGGGTCGTGTGGACAAGTCCCAGTTGAACCGGAGGGTATCTGCGGAGTTGAGGAGAGGAGATAGCGGAGGGGGGGAAAGACGAACCACGAACGAGTGAAGCTGCTGCCAAGGAGCAGAACTGACCAGTAAAGGGGGAGGGAGAGGACGCCTGTGAAAACGAAGGTACGGGGGACATGCCGGTAAACAGGCGGGACGCAGCGCCACACACCTATACATACATACATACATACATACATACATACATACATACATACATACATACATACATACATACATACATACATGCATACATACATGCAGCTGACTCCCGATGAGAGCCGATGTGATTTTGCCCTGTCGCTTCATCTGGATAGGCGGCTCGTTAGCTACCTTAAAGTCCCCGTAAGGAGTTATACATCGCGGTCGGGCACAGCTGCAGAACCCCCAGCCACGTTCACCTGCAGATGGTATGTTGTCAGGATTAAGTTGACCCGCCGCCGCGACCGCCGCCGTACGCATCGCCTCCGCCGTCACCAAGCCCTCCGTGGCAGCAGCAGCTCCGGTGGCGGCGCCGGCGCCCCGGGCTGTTGCGCTGCTGCTGCTGCTGCTGTGACCGCTGTTGCCGGCAGTAGCGGCGGCAGCTGGCCCCCCGCCTCCAGCTCCCCTCAGGCAGTCCAACACGCTGCTCTCCGCCCGCGCTAGAGCTAGCGTGTGTGCGGCTGCCAGCCTTTCTCTAAATGCCGTGAATTCCAGGACCTGGAACAGGGCGCAAGGAAGGGACAACCGATCACATATACTACATGCGTGTGTGTGTTTGTGTGTGTTTGTATTTGTGTCATGCACACGCTGGGACAGCGACAGACATATAGACAGAACACACAGCCGCCACGGCCAAACCGCACATCAAGATCTGCATTCCGATACGAAAGTGCCGTGCCCACACGAACCCTTAACGAGAACCCTCATCTCCGAAACCAGCCGCCAGGTGAGGGGTTTACGCGTGCGTCATGTGCACACGTGTGTTTGCAAGCTGGTAAAGGACAAAGCCGCAGGTGGCTGCGGCAGTAATCACCGGCACTGGCCGGCACCGGCACCGGCACCGGCAACACCACCACCGGCACCGGCAGCAATACCAACCGCCGCCGCCACATCTTACGTTGTTACCTTGGTGTACATGCCGTGACCGTAAGCGGTGAACAGCGACTCCCCCATGTCCCGCGCGTGGTCATCGAACAGCGCCCGGGTATCCTTGAGGACTTTCTGCAGGAGTTGTTGTTGTTGCTGCTGCTGCGAAGGAGAAGAAGAAGAAGAAGAATGACCCGGCCCGTCGCCAGTCGAGCCCGACGACGACGGCTCCGCCGCCGTGGCGGCGGCGGCGGCGGCGGCGGAACCGTGGGGCCACGTCAGCAGCGGCGGCAACAGCAAATGCGCTCCAAGCGTGTCCATCTGTATGTGCTTGATGTCGAGCTTGTACATATGGGCTGCGGCAGCCGCCGGCGCCGCCAACAGCGACGCCAGCGCTGCCATGGAGATGCGCATGGCAGCGCCATACGGTCGTACACGTACGGCCTCGGATAGGGCGCCGTACGCAGCCAGCATATATGGCACGGCGGCGGCGTCTGAGTTTGCAAGGCCAGCTGACGTGGCTAGAGCGGCGGCGGCAAGTACGGGCAGCTCATCCGCGGCGCCGCGCTCTCGCTCGTCGAGTCCCGCCTGGCCATACGGTACGACATGCAGTACCACGTTGGGGGATGCTATCTGAGTTACAGCAGCTGCATAGTAAGATTCAAATGGTGGGGTTTCCCGCTTGCCTCGATCAAAGAAAGCGGCCCCCTTGTCACCGTGTCCCACTGCCAACACTGTACAAAATCACAATTAACGCAGTCGTGCTGCCTATACCCCCGCCCTTACCTGCAAAGGCTGTGCCGTGCCGTACAACTCTAACAGCATCCTCGACAGCTCCACACCCTCTTCACAGCTTTCCAGTCGAGGAAGTCCCAGGTCATCACCAATCTGCGCCGCGCAAACGCGCCGCCGCAGAGACGCCAGAGACGCTGCAGCTGCTGAGCCGCCGTTACCAGCCGCACCCTCGCGCCCGTCGGCGGCCGCGTTTTCGCTTTCCCGCAGGCCCTCTTCCAGACGCCGCGCCGCGCCGATGCTGAGCTGCGAGACGTACGTGCGGAGGTCGACAGCGCAGCTGACAAGGCTGCCGTATTTGCGGTAGTACGACAGTACGGCATCGACCACAGCAGTTTCGGTGTCGTAGTCGCCTCCGTCCAGGCCCGCGGAAACTGCAGCGCGGTGGCGGCGCGAGGCTAGGTCTACCTGGTTTTGGGGTGGGTGGGTGGGTGGGTGGGTGGGGAGACAGCAAACGTGAGGTCTTCGGACTCGACACGTATGCCGTATGCCGGGTCACAAGGGAAAGAATTTCTATGACATGGTGGTGCGAACATGGTGGTGCGAAAGGGCATACGGTGGCAGAAATGCCCCTCAGTTCCGCACCTGGTGCTCTTAAATACATAAAATTAACTTGCGAGCTGACCAGGAACTAAGTTGAGGCGCCGCCGTTGATCCGCTAGATTCAGTTGGATGCTGGTGGTGAGTTGCCGAACCCAAAGAGTACATTCTGAAGTCGGATGGGGTCAATGGATTAGGGTGCCCCTCTAGCAGGGGAGAGCAGGGAACTGCCTCGGGAAGGACGCCACTGGTAAAGCTATACCACCCTGTAACAACAACAGGCTTAGGCCGGCGTACCTGTATTGTTACTATTACTATTACTATTACTATCACTATTAATACTATTATTAATACTTTTTTCAACAGCAAAGAGATGACCAATGGATATCGTCGACAGAGTTGCCGCTGACTGAATAGAAAAAGGAGGGACTGTGCACGCGGAGGTCTTGCAGCTGGGGTCGAGGCCAATGGCCGCCCCCCGCGCGGCGGGCGAGCTCAGGGCCCCCGGGGCCCCGAACTACAGCGCCCCCATATTCACCCCGCGGGGGAGAAGCCCCCGTCCTAGCCAATCCTGCAGGGCCAGCTATCTCTCCTGCCTCCCCCTGCCCTTGATCATCTCTCCCTACCTCCCTACCTCGCATCCCAACCCCTTAACCTCTCATGCGTAGACTACCCCTTCACCTTTCACGCTTACATACAAAGACCTCCTGCCCTGGCCCGCGTTCTCCCCTGGAGCCCTCTGGCTCTCTTCCTAACACGCAGCCGAGATGGAGCTAGACGTGTACCGCGTCTTGCCTACCTACCAGAGCCAGGTGGGGGCCGCGCATCGTCATGGCTTTGCCACCACCGCCACCGCCACCGCCGTCATCGCCTGAGGCTGAGGCCTGATCGCTCATCTCTACTATGCCCTGGTACAGGTGGCAGACATCAGTGTATGTGCGTGGAAGAAGGAAGGTGAGTGGTACGGTAGGCGGGCAGGAAGCACGTCTATACACGAAAATCAGTACGCAGATAATACGTGGGAACATTAAGAGAGAGAAAAAACCGACGGGCTATTACTGGGGAAGAAATAAAATAAGATAGAAGCGTGGCGTAAGCTGCAACAATTGGTAGGCAGTTGTAGTACATCTTGTCGTTCATCTTGCGTGAGGAAACGCGCGCAGTGCGGCACGTGGGGAAAGCAAAAATGAATGTAACGGTGTGTGGTTTTGGCGCCGTAAATTTAAGAAGTCATATAAATTCCCTGTGGGCTGGGAGTTCGCAACCTGGGACTTAGCATCGCAATCTGCATTTGTGTGGTGGCGCCAGCCGACCCGAATCAACCCGAACCGAGCGCAACAGGGTAACTGTCGATCATATGGCTCAGCCCGACACAAACCGAAGCAATCTCGGGCTAACCCAAGGCGACGAAGAGACTCATCTCCCACGCCAACCCACCCAAAGCCCCGGTATATCGCCCACACACCCACACAGTCCCCACACGCGCCACCTCACCGACAACACTGCCTCTGCTTGGCTGAACGCCTCTGGGCTACAGCCACCATCTGCTTCAGGACATTGGGAACGGAATCAAAATCCAAACAGGAAACCGTTAGGAGCCGGAATGGAGATTTTTGGGGGAATTTTTCCTAATATTGCAGGAAAATATTAGTCCATCCAGATGAGGAGAGGGAGGGGAAAAAGGAATTTCGGTGTGGAAAGATGTGGAATTATTGCGGTGAAGGAGGTAATAAGCTTTGGAGGTAAGGAAAAGTAAGCAGCATTGACGTTAAGAAGGGGATGGCAGGGAGGGCAATGGACTGACAAGGAACGGAAGCTTCCTTAATCCCACATCCCACATCAATCTCGCAGTGAACTGGGACAGTCTGTCACACACGCGCACCCACACGCACACACGTACACAGCTAGCATACAGCCCCAGACAAGCAAACCGGCATCCCAGCTCCTAAGCTTTGCTTTCACCGCAATCCCTGCACTTGCGACTCCCACTCACCACCCGCACACAAACAATACAACAGTACCCTGGCCCAATCGTGCCCCCCCCACCACCCCACACCCAGTCACCCATGCCGCGTTCCCGCCCCTGGCCACCGTCTGGAAGGACCTCCTCCACCTCCTCGCACTCACCCGGCGGCAGCGGCACCGCTCTGGGCGGCAGTTGCTCTGCCAGCCCCCCGCTGATGAGAATTAGGGGGTGCTGCGGCCGGAAGGAAGTCGCCGGGTTGTTGGTGGCAGTGGTAGTGGTAGTAGTAGTGGTAGTGGCAGTGGCAGTGGTAGTGGTAGTGGTAGTGGCGACAACCGCAGGAGAGGGGGAGGAGGAGGAGCATGAGGCAGCTGGCGTGGGCCTGCTGGTGGCGATGGGGAGAGGACGGGATCGCTCTGGAGGGCCGGACTTAAGAAGTGGAGGCTAAGGAGGATCTTGTGGGGATAAGGGGATCTTGAGGTGATGTGGGCGGCAACATCGCCTCCGGGTGTTGCTTCATAAAAGTCAAACGGTTTCCATTCTCTAACTTCGGTCCTAACCGTCTTCGGTCGTCCTAACTGTTTTGGATTCTTCTATCCAGGTCCCTTCCTAACATCCCTCATATGCAAGAAAAAATTATTTGAACACACTCGAGGGCCATTTTCGAGGAAACCCTCCACCCTCTGTTCCTCTCTACCGACCCGCGGGTCACACTGGCCGCCGTGCCCGGGAGCATGCAGTCCAGCAGCAGCAGCAGCGCACCCCAGTCATCCGGGTTGAGCGTAAGGCCCTCCCGGAGCAGCTCCGAGGCCGCCTCCAGGTCGCCGCTCAGGGCCGACAACACCGCGCGCAGCTGCAGCCGCTCGGCCGGCAGCCGGAGAGCCGAGGCGCCCAGCGGCCCCGAAACCAGGCTCAGAGCCTCGACCGTCTTGCCCTACATATACATATACATATATACATATGTGGCCAGGTCATACATCGAGATTAATGTTGTGGCCACGTCACGGCAAGCGTCATAACACCCCAATATATGCCAGGACTGACCAAGGACCGGTGGTCCCACGATTGGCATTTTCAGTTCCCTCCGCAAACCGACATCTCTCCTTCCCACTCCTTCCCACCCTGCCCCTCCCGAGGCCCAGATGCATAATCCTTGAGCATCACCACCTGCCCTTCCCCTTCGCAACCTCACCTACCCGCTCCCAAACCACCGCACACAGACCTGCACAGCCCAACTGCTACCTGCCCCTCACACTGGACAGCCGTCATCTCTCCACGGCTGAGCTGCCCCATACAGCCCCATCTTCTGTTCTCGCTCCCAGCCCCGACACGCTCACCTGCGCCAGCAGCACGTCCACATACACCATGAGAGCCTCGTAGCCCTCAAGCCGCCCGTCCTTCGCCACCTGGAGACGACAGGAAGAAGAAATGAGTTAATACAGAGCTAGGAAAACGAATTTACAAAAGGGCTAGGAAAATGAGTTAATAATACAGAGTTAGGAAAATGGGTAAATAACGGGGCCAAGGGATTCGGACTTCGGAGCACTGTGTGGTTGTGTGTGTGGTTGTGTGTGTGTGTGTGTGTGTGTGTGTGTGTGTGTGTGTGTGTGTGTGTGTGTGTGCGTCTCAACGATAAGCTGTCCGAAATGCCGGGCCCAAACACCAAAGGAAAACGGCCAAGCCTTCCTTTTAGCTTTACGTGGCTTTTGGCAGTTGGGTTCTCCCATATTCTAAGCACCAAGCCTCAGAACACGCAGAGGACCTCCACCCTGGGAGGGAGAGGAGGCGGGCGCTCGATTAGGCGACCCTTTTCTTATCCCCCCAACCGCCCGCTGGCATCGACACCGCTACTTGAACGTCTCCAGGAAACCTGTCTTCCACACGTCACCCTCAATCCGCCCACCTGCCGTGCCACCATGCCTTCCGCAAGTGCCAACATCTTCTCTGGGTCCATCGCATTAGGCGGTACCTGCCCTGCCGGCGCCGCCACACGCGTAGTCCGAACCCTAAGCGCTGCCCGTGCCTGAAGCAAGATGCTCAGCACCACCCACCAGCCGTACCGCTCGCCACTGACGCCACCCGCTCCCGCTGCGTCATTGCCGCAACCAACAGCCGTAGCGGCTGCAGGAGCCGCCTTGCTCAGCTTTAGCGCTACCTGCTGCTGCTTCAAGAAGTTCTGCTCCCTGCATTTGGATGCATGCGGGGAGCGCGCGTGTGTGTGACAGTGCACACCCAAACACACATCCAAACACACACCCAAACACGTTCTCTGCCGCCCTGTTCCGCTCCACCGCACCCCCCAACCCCCCTCTACTCCATCCCCATCCCCTTCCCCCGCCCCAGCGCCCCCCTAATCCTCCCCCTCGCCCGGCCCCGACCGCATTCTACCCCGCCTGGAAAACCAGCACAGCACTCCTCTCCGCCTGCGCAGTGCCACTCCACCCTATATATCTTCACTCCCCAATCCGCTCCTCTCTACACCGCTTCAAGCGCCCCCCACTGAAGCCGACCTGACATGGGCCCCGAACACCTCGTGCTGAAGCACCAGCGCCAGCTCCCCTCCCCGAGGCGCCACCGCCGCAGCTGCGGCCTCGTACATGCGGGTGATGTCGGGCAGCCGGCCCGAGGCACGGAGCACCATCGCGGACAGCCGCAGCACCTGTGCTTTCCCCCCCCCCCACACACACACACGTAATGGCAGCGGTGGGGCGGTGGGGAGTAAGGCGAACCACTGGCGAACCAATAGGCCAGTGGGGACCGGCGAGGAATCGGGAATCCAGACAGGCCTGTGTTTACCACCCAGGCAACACGGGGTGATACAGTGGGCACAGCTAAGCACATCAAAAGAGGGGTTCGGCATTGTGGTGTGTCGGAAAGAAAATGGTTCAAGAGGTTCAAAGGAATAATAGAACGGAAAAGATGTATGAAATATATATTTTTTTGTTTATAAGGGACACACTGGGATGACTGGGTTTTTAGAGAGAGAGTTCAGGAACGGATTGTGCTCTCTGACCCGGGGGGGGGAGCGGGGAGGAAGAGCGGGAGCGGGAGAGGTGTGGTAATACGGAGGAGCTGTTCTTTTGCCCCGGAAGGACTACCAATACGCAAACGCGATGCAGGTCCTGCATATCAGATGGAAGCAGTAAAGCGCTGCTCACTGGAAGAAGATTGGACGGGCGGGCAAGGACTGAGCATGTGCCGAAGAGCGTACGAAGAGCGTACGAAGAGTGTACGAAGAGTGTACGAAGAGTGTACTTGCCTGCTCATCCGTTGGGGTGGCCGCGAGCACCTCATCTACAACCTGTGGGAGGGAACGTGGACTATTTGCAGATGTGTATGTATGTATGTATGTATGCATGCATGTATGTACATATGTATGTATGTACATGTGTATGTATGTATCAGATGGACGTGTAAGCCAAAGGGAGGTTGATCCCAAAACAAGCCAACGAAACCAGGGAACATCAGAAACGTTGACAAAATCGAGAAATACGATTTCACGTTCGGCGGTGGCGGTTGGCGGGCGATTAGGATCGACAAGAGGTGCAGCTGGAGCGGCATCTGGCATGGGAGGCAGAGTGGTACTGAGTACGGGATTCAAGATTTAAAGGCGCGGGGGTGAGGAAGGGAGACGTTGAGGATGTGCAGCGAGTAGCGTGCAGGAAAAGGGATATATGGCAATGCAGCTCCTCAGGCATCTGCGACTCTGGTGGGTCGCGATACAGCTGATAGTTTCGGGGTTGTGAGGCGTGGGCCAAGAGGGATCACATTGTACGACAGCGTTCGTTTGGACGTCCGTCAGCCCGGGCGCATAGTCCTTTTGCATACAATCAATTGGAACCACTAATTGAGTGAAAAATCAAACGGAAGAGGCTAACAGTATATTATACGCGCAACGCACGTGTGGTTGCGGGTCAGGAAGACAGCGGCAGGTCGCCACTCGGCGGGACAACCGGTGCGAAGACCGATCGCATGAGTGTTATGTCCAAACTTAACGGCATGTTATCCTGACCTTCGCCGTACCTGATTTGCCTCCTCACGCTTGCCGCTGCGCTCCAGGCCGATGGCTTTAAGAACTTTAATTAGCTCGTTGTCTTGATATTTTTGAAGCGCTTGCTGGCATAGCTTAAGAGCTCCCTGTTAGAGATCATAATCACAACGAACGTCTTGAACGTATTTATTTGTCCCGCCGACTGATGGCGCCGACAGCGCGCCGACAGCAAAAGCACGCTTACCTTAAAATTGCGAGAATCCAGTGCATCATAAATCGGCCTAACCTTGCGTTCAAATGCATCGGGGTCCTTCGGGAGTTTGGACATTCTTACTTTGCCTGGGTCAAATACGCTATCCTACGGGACCCAGCTGCGTGGCTAGATACCCATTCAGGCACGAAACACTTAATGCAGCCCCGTCTGCATGTGAGACACAAACTCTGCGAAAGGCCGTACGTGTGCCGAAAGAAGCACTTTGTCAGCAATGTGTCGATCAAATGCTAAAGTTATATTATGCTAAAGCTCTGGGACATGTGATGTGCGTAGAAGCGTGATTCCTATAATATGTTGACCTCCAAGTTTCACTGAAATTCTTGGCACCCGGGGGCAGGAAAGCTCTTCATAGGCAACCATGTTTATTTACCTTAGGTCAGTAAATGGTGCAAATATCATGTTTGGCTTTGCTCGACTTTTGCTCACCCGCGCCTCTTACTACTGCGCAGTAAGAAGATTGCTATCCCAAACAATGTAAAACTAAGGTGTATATCATGGAATACAGATCAGGGCTGGATTGCTTGCGGTGGAGAGACTGGATTGCTGAAGGTGAGCTTTGGCATGCGGCTTCGAAGTTCCGTCCTGCGCTTGCCTTGGCGCCGATTTGCTTTGCGCTGTACATTTGAAGGTTCTCCGTCTTGATGGCGCAACTAGTAAGGACACGAAGGGGAAGAAGGAAGGTGGTCCGCCGGGCGGAAACCTCTCCCTTAACCAAACCCTTGAGGGCCATAATGGCTCGGTCATGTGCGTGTGCTGGAACAACGCTTTCCAGAAGCTCACCACCAGCGATGAGTTTGGACTCATCATTGTGTGGATGCTGCACAAGGGCATGTGGTTTGAGGAGATGATTAACAACAGGTGAGCGGCTGGGTTGGGGTGGTCCTGGAGTCCAAGTGTTGGGCTTGCCCAGCTATTTGCAGGCTGGTACGGTGCTACACTCCGCCATATCCCATCATCAACTCAACTCTGCTCTTGAGCGCACATCATAAATATAATGCCGTTCTTGGGACGGCGAGGGATTTAGCGTTCTAACAACATCCCGCTGGTCCCCTCAACACGCAACTATTGGCGAAGCTCAAAGGCAGTCAGGAAGCCTGGTGTAATTTTGCGACCCGCTGGCCTATGCCACGATGTATGCCAGCACTATGTAAGAAAGCATCGCCGCCTTCTTCCGGCACACTCCCGCCATGCCGCCAAAGCGACCCAACCACCCCAACGCAATTCCATCACGCAAGCCTCTCCCCCACGCATTGCAAACCGGGCGGCATTCACCTCGCAGAAATAAGTCCGTGGTAAAGGACATGAAGTGGACGGCCAACGGCGAAAAGATTTGCATCATCTACGAAGATGGCGCCGTCATTGTGGGATCCGTGGACGGCAACCGCCTTTGGGGCAAGGTATGTATCGACTGCGTATGGGCACTGGGGATGGACATCTGGGAGAAGGACAAGAAATGAAAAATAGGATGGTGGAGTCATGTCAGGTGAGCAGAGATTCAAAGCCATAGGGGTACCAGCCACGGCGCCAGCGGGTGTTGAAGTGTCAAGAGACAGCGTCAGTTTTGGAGTTTCCAGCCAAGGCCGGCACCACTATGGGACTTTGTTAAGAGGCATCATAAGAGCTCTGAAATGATTTTGGCTGTTTGTGCACTACTTGCACTACAACTCTCCCACGCGCCTTCCCTTTGCCCTGTCCATTTCCATCGTGGGTCTCCTCGGCGTCGCCGGATTTCCCTCCTTACCTCCCCCGTAGCGCTTTCATGCCCGGTCCCTGCCGCGATTCCCTCCACCAAATCCCCTTTTGGTGGTATGTTGCCTGAACTGGCAAGTCCTCTTTCCTCAACGCCTTCTCCCCTTGTCCGCACCCACCTCAGGAGCTCGGCATGGAGCTTGCACTCGTGGAGTGGTCTCCGGACGGCCGCCTGCTGCTGTTTGCCACGCCGCAAGGCGATTGCCACGTGTACGATGGCAACGGCAATGGAGTGGCCAAGGTGCCACTATACTGCAATGAGGGGTATGCAGGTGGGTGCAACAACGGCGGGCAGAGGAGGAGGAACAGATTTTGGGTCGCTGGGGCTGGGGCGGCGGGGCTGTTCACAGAACGGAGCGGAGCAGGGCAGGGCAGGTTTCGGAGCCGCCATCAGCTAAAACGGGGCAGTCAGGAAAGCGCCAAGCTAAGCGGGGGAGTTGGGAGTTGCGGACTGGCAGGCGGCTTGGGAGGGAAAGTGGGCTCAGCAGGGGGCGTGCGCTGGTTGTTTGCAGTGCACGAGGAAGTCTGCTGTCTTACCACGCGTCCACACAAAGCGATGGTCAAGTCACCAGTCACCAGCCACGCGCACAAAGGTCCCCTAGTTTCCATAGGTATGAAAGGATTTTGTATTTTGTTCCCCAGCGCGATATTTGCATGTACACACGTGTCGAACGCATCACGTTCTTGACAAAGGCGTCGCATTTCCTTAGCTGTGCAATTTAATGGTTTTGTTTTTCAAAACGAGAATAGGAGGACGCTCCCTTTCTGAAGCACACGACGATTAATTTATATTAAATTTGACTGGGCATTCAAACCGTCAGGTGCCTCCAAGATCATTGGTGTGGAATGGTACGACGGCGTGGAGGGCTACGCAGAGCCCAACTGCCCTGTGCTGGCTATCTGCCTGGACAACGGACGAATGCAGGTAAGTGCCGGCTGAGCCTGGCAGCCCGGGATAGGAGCCTGTGAAGGGGAGGAGGAACCTTTCGCGGTCTCAAACGGGATGCAGTTGCAAACGTCGCGGAACGGAACATGGGACGCAGGCGACGAGCATGCTGAACATGGTAGGGTCGGGCAACCTGACGAAATGGTAGATGATTATGGTCAATCTGGCCCGAATTGAAAAGGGACTCATCATCGCGGCTTCGTGAGCATTCGATGGGGGGGAATTGGTGGGAACACGTGAGGGCAGCTAGGTATTCTTTCGTCACACCGTTACCGAACAGATGAAACCCTAGCCGTGGGGCTGAGGGGCTCGGCACGGGCATGGCCCTCATCTATCCGAAATCGAAAGCTCCTGTCTGTGAAGTGAATGAAGTCGAGCGTCGCTCGGTCGAAATGCACAGGGCCCCAGCCGAAGAAACCGCCAGTATCGGGCCAGTAAATGGCCTTTGCACTGCCCGTGCGCTGCCCAAAGCGCTCCCTTTCCATTCATCCGCTCGCCCCGCGGCCTTGGGCGTTTTGACCTACATGCAACTGATCTTGTCCAAGGCGCCGGTTTCTTTCCTTCACCTTTTCCTTAAATCCATCTATGGCGTGTGCTCACTGCAGCTGATGCGTTACGAGTCGGACGACAACGCGGTGTGCATTGACACGGGCATCAAGCCGGTGAAAGTCAAATGGAACATGAACGGCACGGTGAGCCGGGGCGTATGGGCAATGAAAGCAAGGTCCCGGCTCGGGGGAACACGGGCTTTGGGTATTGGAGCCGGCTTTGGGCATTAAGACACAAGGCGCAAACAGAAGCTGAGCCTAAAAAAGAGGTAAAGCGGGGCAGCAAAGAGGCAGCAAAGGTGGATGCAAGATGGCGGCACGACGATTGCTTTATGTTGGCACTTTGGGGATCAGTTGCGTTTCAAAAAAAGGATGCCTTTCTCCCTTGGGTGTGAGTGATGCGGCGGGTGCTGTATGGCGGTCACAAATCCAGGCGCAGTTGCTGGGGCTACCTGCGCCTACCTGGGCTGGGCTTACCTGTGTATTATGGCGTTGCGGGCCTATGATGCCGTCCTTCATGATGGTCTACTCGCCCAGGCCTGCGGCGGGATCCGGTGTTCACACCTTGTTTCCCCAAGTTTCCCCTTTCCCTGCACTCTGGTTCGCGTTCGTGTGCGAGTAAGGCCTGGACTTGCATGCGTTTTCCTTATCCGCGACCGCCGCCTTGGTGCCCAGATCTTGGCCGTGGCCGGCTTCCAGACGAGTAGCGCGGTGGCGGACGGGCGGGAGCTGTGGATGGTGCAGTTCTATAACCACAACGGTGAGTGAGCGAGTGGGGGCCTCGGAAGGCCGCTGCAGCGCTGGGCCGCTTGCTAGGGATCCTAGCTTTGGGGCGGGCGGGAAAATAAGAAAAGGAGCAACAACAACAATGGGACATGGAGACCCGAGCCGCCAGTTCGATGCTTCGGACAGATAAAGCTTTGGGCGCGTGATGCCGTTGGGCTGCCGGCCGCCTAGCTCTAAAGGGAAAGACGGTTACGGGAGGTCGGGATAGGCATGGCGGTGGTGGGGGCATGTGAATGAAATCGGACTACGCGGGAGTCGTGCAGGTGGGCAGGGTGACAGCACACCGCCTCTTGTAAGCCGGGGTAACGTAATCCGGCAAAGGGTTTGTTGCCAACCCGCATCGGACAGTGTCGGATACTACCACAATGAAGATTTGATTTGATTTTTTTTCCAGCTGGAAGGGCAGTATCTTGTATGCAGCTCCACTCCAGCACCCCGTTCTGCCGTTTTCCGAAACCACGCCTTCCTGCACTAAAAACTCAGTACCTCACGCTTGGTTCTTCACCATCTCACCTTTCCCTTGCCTTTCGTTCTTCCCCACCTCCGCTGTTTTCATGCCGCATATGCAGGCGAGCACCTTCGCACGCTGCGAGTCCCCGGTGGTGGCATCTCCGGCATCTCCTGGGAGGGCAACGGGCTGCGTCTGGCGCTCGCTGTGGACAGCTACGTCTACTTCGCAAACGTAAGACGAAGAGGTTAGATGGGGGGGAAAGACGAACCACACACGAGAGAAGCTGCTGCCAGGGCAAGAGTGTACCAAACGTAGAACTGACCGAAAGGCGTCCGATGGAGATGGGGGGCCCAAAAATACGGAAGACTATGGCAATGATTACATATGTGGAAAACGGCCAGGGCTGGGGTTGGGTGAATTGGGAGCGGGCCCTCTGCAGAATCCTCTCCTACCTACTTCCTTTCTCTTCCGCCTTTCCCGCTTCTTTCCCCCCGGCCCCCCGCACCACCACCGCTACATTAGGTACGCCCCGACTACAAGTGGGGGTACTTTTGCAACACGCTGGTGTACGCCTTCAACCGGCCTGACCGCTCCGAGCACTGCGTCATGTTTTGGGACACCAAGAACAACGACAAGTACCCCAAGTATGTGCGCAAGCTGGTCGCCATCCAGGCGTTTGGGGACTTCTGCGTCCTGGCAACCAAGGTGCGGCGACGTCCGGCCCAGCCCGAACACACTTCTGCTTCTAGGCGTTGCTCGCTCCTAACACCTACAGCCTGCCTAGTTATTCTGCATGGTCATTCGTTCCGTAATCACGTCCACTAGGCCCCCTGGTTAGGCCCCTGCTAACCCCGATCTCTGCCCCCCAAAACGGCTTTCTGCAGCCGCGCTAAGGCCCCCCAGCCTCGGTCTTAGCTTACCCCTTCTGGACTTCCGATCCAGCTTTGCATGCGCTCGCTTCAGTGTTAAGGCCGCAATCACCTACAAGAGCTCTGGCATATAGCCCCGTAACAAGTCCTACAACCCCATGTACTTCTTTACTGTCTTTCCAGGGTGAGAACCAGGGAGAGCACATTCTCATCCTGTGCAACGCGATCGGGTCCCCTGTGGATTCCAAGTACATTGAGGTGGGTCATAAGATGGAGGGCATATCACGGGATTTGCATCCACCGTTCGGATCTTTTCTGAAAACGTCGTGATATAACAAGATAGTACTACTTCCGTTAGTATAGCGCCGAGGACCTGTATGGGTTCAGCCGTAGGGGTCCTTCCTCCTTAATTGCAGATTTTTTTTAGCATCTTCCAACGCTTTGGAAAACTTTTCCTTTTCATGTAACCCGGGGCCCGGCTTGCCCTCCACCCTTCGTTCCTTGCAGGTTGAGCCCAAGTACCTGGCCATCACCAACTACCATGTGATTGCCGCCAATGACGAGGTGGTGTATGTGTGGCAGTTCAGGACGTCGTTCTCCAAGGTGTGCGGTTGGCGGGTGTGCTGGTGTAGGTGGGCGAGGAGTTTGTGGTTGACCAGGGACAGGGTGTTCAGGGATGGGACAGGAGCGCGAGGTGGGGTGAGCTGGGCGGTCAGTAGGTGGGCTGGTCCCATGGTGGGGTGGAGGTGCGGTCAGGGTCGCTGCATCGAGGCAGAAGGGCACGGAAGGTAAGCACGTTCCTACATTTTTATTAGTAGGGCAAGGCGGCTGGTGAATGGTTGTGGGTGGATGCGCACTGGTTGTGAGAGCCTGGGCGGGGCATGGACGCTGCGGCGCCCTGCGGTACTGGTCACACCTTTAGACGTTAGGCAGCAGGTTCGGGACATATCCATGGGCTAAACGATTGGTCGGTTGGTTGTTTAGTTGGTTGGTTGGATTGGAATTAAAAGTAAACAGGGCCCGATGAGTCGCGAAGGGCGATGAGCACGTTTAAGTCAGCCACTAGCATGGCCAACGAGCGTGTTTAAGCCAGCCACTTGCATGCGCAAGACCTATGAAACCAGCACACATGCCCGCCCGGCCTGAATCCTCGGCATGGGCTTATTTCCGCAATCCCCCGCCCCATACCCTCTCAGGTTCTGTCCACCGACATCAACGCGGTGAAGCGCAAGGATGTGCGTGAAAAGATGTTCTCGGTGGACGATGCTAACCCGGCGCTGGTAAGATCGTGAGCCCAAACGGCCAAGAGGGTAGGAGGATCCAACACGCGCTCATCCCCACCACCTGTGTAACTGACTCGTGCATGTTGCATAATCCCATTGCTCCCTTCCCCATATTGTGACACCCCACAATCCTCAGCCTCTAAATCCTTTATACTGCCTCGTCACTTTGGCCCTTCGTTCCCCTAGGTAACGAACCCTTGCATTTCTCACACGCGATCCCGGTCCCTGCCCTAGCATTAGGTGTAATGCCTAGAGGTTACTGCTCCCCAGGTCTTGTCATCTGGGTCCATTGTTAATTTCCGCAGCTCCCTTTTTGGAGCCCGCCTCTTGGCGTTTGTTTTCCCCCTCTTACCCATGCTGATGACCCGCGCTGTTTGTTTTTGCCCTCCGTGCCCCAGTCGGACCGCTCTCCTGAGTCCTTCCGCAACATGACCACCCAGACGACCGACCCCATCGCCTGCATCACCGCCTGCGACTCGGTGCTCATGATTGGTCGCGCCAGTGGGGTGGTGAACCGATACTCCCTGCCGCACCTCACACTGGACGCGCAGCACGTGCTCAGGTGCAGGCCGCAGGTGAGAAAAGGACGGTTGGGGAGAGACTGACTGGGGAGGTGTTAAGGACGAGAGACGTAGCAGTGTAGGGTCGTGCAGCACCTCGTGCAATGGCGGCAACATGGTAATGGCGGCGAGGGTTACGTTTTCCCCTGCTTCGCCCCCTTCCTGAGGTCCTTTGCTGGTGACCTCCCTCCTCGTTATCATTTCCGGAAGGATGGGTTTTACGTAAAGCACCCCCCCAACCAACCACCCGTATTAGATCAAACTCCACCCGTCCATGCCCCTGATCGTTTCGTGTCGTGGGTCGGTTTCTTTCCCCCCTAACCCCTTTTCCGCCTCCTCCTCCCGCCGCCCTCCAGATGCTCTCCCTCAACTGCAACCTAAGCAAGATGTCGATCATTGATATCAACGGCGTACTCACCTTCTTTGACCTCACGGCGAAGGCGACAGGCGGTGGCGCCAACACCATGGGAGAGCACCTGGCCTTTGAGCGCAAGGTGGGTCCGTGGATGGGTGGGTAGGGCTTTCTTCGGGCCGGCATGCCGGTGGGCCCAATCACGCAAGCCCAGCCAACCGCAACCCCAGCAACCCCTGCAATGCACCGACCCCAAACCCACCGATGCCCTGCTTTCTTGCCAACCCAACAAAACACACCAGGACGCGTGGGACATGCGGTGGGCGGACGACAATCCCGAGTTGTTCGCTATGATGGAGAAGACCCGCATGTACATCTTCCGAGGGCTCGACCCCGAGGAGCCCGTCACCTCCGCTGCCTACCTGTGCTCCTTCCACGACCTGGAAATCACAGCCGCCTTCTTGGACGACATCATGCAGCAACCCGACCAGCCGGACCTGGAGTTTATGGTCATGTATGAGACGCGCAGTCTGAGGTGGGTGTCAGTCAGTCTTGAGGTGTGGAGGGAGAGGAGGGCGGGGAGGTTGGAACGAAGCTCTCCAAAAGTGGAGCTGCGGATGGGGCTTTGAGGGGGCTCGGTTGTGGGGAAAAGGAGAGGAGGGCTGGAGAGGAGGGTTACCTCCTCTCCAAATCCCCTTGTGTATCCTTTGAACAGGGGGAATGAATATAACCCCATTTCCCCTGTTGCCTGCGCACAACAGGGATACCAGGGAGCTCCTCAAGAGCGCCTCTGTGGATGACGCCTACTCGTTCGTGGACTCCAACAGCCACCCCCGCCTGTGGCGCAACCTGGCTGAGCACGCCTTGGAGGCGCTGGACTTCACCACCGCGGACAAGGCCTTTGTGCGGTGCGCGGACTACCAGGGCATTCAGTTTGTCAAGCATTTGGGCAAGCTGGATGACAAGGCAAAGCAGCGCGCGGAGGTGAGGGGGAGAGGTGAGGGGGGGTTGTTGAGGGCGGCGCGGGTTGGGCAGGGGAAGGGCGCTGGTGGGGCCCTGTGCACCTAAAGCTGCGCTTGGGAGAGGAAGCAAGGGGAAGGGGTTTGTCTTCCCGTCCGGTGGGACGCGGCGTGCAGGAGCTATGGGCTGGCGGGCGGGGGAGAATGTGAGGGAAATTCCGGGACTGATAAATGGAAATCGGACAGTGGGTTATGGAGAGGGAGAGGGATGGGGAGAAGTAATCCCGTGGGAATGAGATAAAAGGAAGGGAGAAGCCGGAAGGGAAGGGAGCTGGCTTCCGTGACAGGGTGAAGGGATGGGCGGTTGGGGTGGGAAGTGGGGTGGCCATCTGAACGTCCCGGCTCGGCGAATTCTTGGCCTCCCGGACTCTAACGACCCCCTAAATTTATACACGCACGCATGAAAAAACACAGGTGGCGGTTTACTTCAAGCGCTTTGACGAGGCTGAGCAGCTGTACATGCGTATGGACCGCCCCGACCTGGCCATCGACATGCGTATGCGGCTGGGAGACTGGTTCAAGGTATGGACCACGGAGGGGGCATCAACGAATTGAGTGGAGGATTGAAGTGTCGGTGGGGGCTGACGGGAGCGGGGCTCGGATGGTGGGAAAGGACGAGGCGGCAAGAAGTGGGTAGGCGATGCGGGTCTCGTGCACCATAAAAAAAGAGGTTTTCAAGAGACAAGCAAGTGTCCAAACTCAAACTCTAGACCATACCCGCGCAACCTTCCCCATCATCCTTTTCTATGGTACTCGGTGCCTACACGCCACTGCATTGGACCATACGTGTTTTACGCCACTCAATCTTATCCGGATATCCAGTCGTCCCTCCTCCTCCAACCGCTCTCCCTCCCTTTCACCTACGTGCCATTCCTGTCCCCCCTTCCGCAACCCCCCGGAACCATGGGTCAGTGACTTCATCGCTTAGGTCTCACCAGGCAGTTTCAACCTTTGGACGGCGGCAACTCATTCCGTGGTGGTGTTTCCTTGGTGATACGCATTCACCGGGGTATCCAGTTGTCTGGCCCAGAATCGCCGCCCACTTTTTCCCATGGCCCAATTGTCTTTCTACCAATCTCCCTTTTTTCCCTTTCGCTTGCTTGACTTTCCTTAGCCCCTCCATTCCTCCCCCTTCCTCTCCGTCCCCTTTCCGACAGGTGGAGCGACTGATTCGCGAGTCCAGCGGCGACGACGCGCAGCTGCTTCACGCACACAACAAAATCGGCCAGTATTACAGCGACCGACACAAGTGGGGCAAGGCGGCGCAGTACTATGCACAGGCCAAGAACAGCGAGATGCTCGTCGAGTGCTTTTACGCGCTGGAGGTACGGATTGGATGGAGGGGCGGCAACCTGACCCGTGGGGTCTTTGGTGGGTGCGGTTATGACCGGTCTTTTGGTTACCCACCAAAAGACTGCCACCGTCACCATCGTCCCGCGGATGAGACGATGCTCATGGCGATGATGGCGGCGGCAGTGATGGGTAACCAAGTAACGGTGATAATCGCAGCCACCAAAACACAGACATGCACACACACAGACACACGCACACGCGCGCGCGCACAACCATGCCACCAGACCCAAGCGCGCCGCACATTTCCCTTTCCAGCTATCCCTTGCTTCCCAACGATGCACCGCTGGCTCCGCTGATACCGCTTGCATTTCAGTATTTTCCTTTCCTCCCACGCCCCCTTCCTTGCCTCCCCGCGGCCTCTCCCCTTTCCCCCTTCCCTGGTACACTCTTGCCCTGGCAGCAGCTTCACTCGTTCGTATGGTTCGTCTTTCCCCCTTCCCTCTTCCGCCGCCCGCCTTCCATAACCCATACAGGACTTTGTGGCGCTGGGTCGCCTAATGGACGCCCTTCCGGACGGCTCCCCGCTGCTGGCCAATATTGGCGAGAAGTTCCAGAGCGTGGGGTTGTGCAATGAGGGCGTGACGGCCTTCCTCAAGGCCGGGGATACCAAGCGCGCCATCGACTGCTGTGTGTTGTTGAACCAGTGGGACCAGGGTGTGTCGCTGGCTCAGACACATAACTTCCCGCAGATAGAGCAGCTGCTGGCCAAGTATGCCAACCACTTGCTGGAGAAAGACAAGGTAGGTTGGGATCGAGGAAGAGTTTCGGAAGAAGGGAAAGACCGAGAGGCGAGGATTTGGGCATGCATAGACGTGTTGGGAAAGGACAAACGAACCCAGATGTGTCCCGACAGCGGTGGTCGCATATGTCATGCATATGCAGTATATTTAGAATGGGGCCGTGCGTTGGGGCACGGGGTGTGGGAGGAGGATTAAGTCTCTTGACGAATGTATTGAGAAAGGTTCAAGGGGGCTGAATCAGCAGGCTAGAGTAATATTAGGAGGGTTGAAGAGAGGCACGCGGAAGGGGGCTTAGGAGGTGGCATGGTGCGAGGCGTGTGCTTTTTCCAGGGCTTCCTTGAGCATGGATTGAGATAGCTGTAGCACCAGTTCCAATTTCCTTCCCCGATCCCCCTCCTGGCCAGGTGATGGATGCCATTGAGTTGTACCGGAAGGCCAACCACTCGATGGAGGCGGCCAGGCTATTGCAGGTCTGTGGGGTTGGTTTGTGTGTGTGGAGGGGGGCCCGCCGGGGGAAGGCAGACTGGAATAAGAGGCGCCTTCTGGATAACCAAGGGGCCTCAGAGGGGACGAATACATTTTCAACATTTTAAATTGTTAAAATTAAATTGCTTAAATGAAAAAGTTGAAATTAAATATTCAACTTGATATGGAAAGACGAAGGAGGGGTTTTAGTTTTTTCACGTGCCGAAGTTGATGTCCCCGCGCTCTGTCCGGTTATGTGTAGGTGTACTATTAGACGTGGATTTAAACTAGTAGCGTATGTTATCTGGTGCACAGGATAATTCTCTCCTTTTCACCTCAACGAACCCCAACCATGACATTTATATATGACTATTATATCAACCACTCGCTTTCCCCCCACCCCGTTCTCCCCTGTACTTCGTGTTCAGGACCTTGCCAAGAAGTGTGCCTCCCAGAAGGTCCACCCGCTCCGTGTCAAGAAGCTGTACGTGCTGGCTGCTCTGGAAATTGAGAAGTTCAAGAAGCGAACCTTGGAACTAGCGGGACCCGATAAGGCGGCAGCCACCCTACTTGGAGGGGCGGGAGGAGGAGCGGGCGGTACAGCCACCATGGCGGCCACTGCGGCGCAGGTGTGTTCAAAAAGGGAACCCCGCTTGTGCCGGACGCACACAGGCGCAGGCGTTTGTGGGTGCGTTCGGTTTGATATAACGTGAACCAGCTTCGCCGATTCATGGCCGGATAGCCGAGAGCAAAACGGGTGTGCGTGTGGTACGCCCGTGTGATTGGTCAGCATAATTGCGATGGTGGCAAGAGGGCTCAAAAAAGGCATGCAAAGGGAAAGGTCCCAGGGAATGGATGGATAGGGCCGCCGTCGAGGTGTATACGTTGTGATTGTGGGTTGGAGCACGGGGGACGGGGGAGACGAAGGTCTGTTGGGTATTGTGGGATATCAAACTCGGGTCTCCTTGGGGGGCTCCTCGAGGGGAAGCCGAACAACGCAGTGTACATGCATGAGGGCGAGTCCAAAGTCCCAAATCCCACCCTCCACATCGGCCCAACCCCGCCTCAACCCGCCCCCAACCCGCCCCCAACCTATGGTGCTATATGGCCCGACGGACCTGCACGACCACTTCCCTCAGACGCTCGCCGGCCTTATGACACTCGAGTCGGTCGTATCAGGCGAGGCGGGTGTGGATTCCGCCTGGCGCGGTGCGGAGGCCTACCACTTTTGGCTGTTGGCGCATCGGCAGTTGTACTCGGGCAATGTGGACCTGGCCATGCGTACGGCGTTGCATCTGCGCGAGTACGAGGATCTGTTGGATCCACTGGAAATCTACTCCTTCCTGGCGCTGGCCGCCTTTTACAACCAGTTCTTTGGGCAATGCTCGAAGGTATGAGGACGGCCTAGAATGGAGGGGATGGTGGGTTCTAGGGTAACGGAAGTGGGTTCTAGAGTAACGATGTTGTTGGGGAGGTTGTCCGGGAGCGGAATGGTTCTACACTGTGGTTTTGTAGAGGGCCGCTGTTTGCTGTTTGCCGGCCCTGTTAATGGTGCTCCGAAACCAATTCTGACCCCCACACGCCCCGCCCCGCGTGCCTTCTTGCTATACAAGAAGGCCCTCCCTCCGCCCTACACTCCCCAATCCAACCTCCTCATCCTCTTCCTTTCCCCCATTCTTCCGGTCCTCCTTCATAAGGCCTTCATCAAGCTGGAGTCCATGCCCTCCATCCCCACCGACAAGCGCGAGGCGTTTGCCGACCTGGCCATGTCCATATTCCTGAAGCACCCGCCTGCCGATCCGAGGGCGCTGCGGGAGACTCGTGAGAAAAAAGGTCTGGGAGGCGGTGGAGGTGCGGCAACTGGCAGCTCCCTGGACGCGCTGCTGGAAGACCTGGGCGGCGGCCGGGATCAGGTGAGGGCCGGGTTGGGGGCCTGGGGGAAGACGAACCAAGACGAACGAGCGAAGCTGATGCCAAGGATAGACTGATACGCCAGAAGCAAGGAAGCAATAACTAACCAGTCACGGCTTGTGAGTGGGCCGGTAAAGGGGGTTTCCTGGACATGGGCCAGGTTAGCTGCAATTAGGTTTTGTGTGTCATCTTTTGCGTATGAAGTCGCGTAGGTATGTCGGTATGTCGGTATGAAGTGGACGCGAAGCCACATGCAGCGGGCGCAACGTTGTCAGGGTGACATCGGTAGCTTTCCAGAGGATTTTCATTGACCGGCTTTTCACAGATGTGTGGTGTGCGCCAGGCGGACGGGTGGGAGGGTGGGTTTCAGGAGGGGCCCGTACCCGTACATGCTTTCAAGTACAGGGGCCTAGAAGGGGGAGGATGCACAGAAACCGACAGGGGACTCATAAAGGAGAAAGCATCAAGCCCTCTGGCCACTTTAATGCTGTTCATCTTTTCTTTCTCCTTCCGGGCTATAGCTTGTAAGGGAATGGGGCGATCCTCCTGGAATGTCTTATGCCAACATTGGGTCCGCCCGGTGCACCAGTGCTGCCCGAGCTGTAACTTAGCAGAAGCCCACCGAGATTCCAGGCCTGGCCCTTTCCTTGTTTTCTCTCTACCTCCTTCGTTCATCCTTCTTGTCTATTTATCCGTGGGCACCCTCCCTGTGGGCTGCTCTGCGCCTATTCATCCATCTTGATGTTCATATCTGTGTCCATAATACGGTCCCTCAATCAGGGACCGTATTGAGGGCTTCCTATTATAGATTATATGTCCCATCCCTTGAAAACACCACATGCACAGGTTTGTGTCGCCAGTGGCCGCATCGTTCGTGATGGCAACGTGGTCCGCTGCCGCACCTGCAAGCACCTCTCCATCACCCACGAGCTGCGAGGCAACACCATCTGCCCGCTGTGCCACTCTGCGTTGCCTGCAACTGCCGCCGCAGCCGGTGTGGGGGCGGGGGGCCCGCCTGGCAGGTCCCTGTCCTCCAAGGCGTCGACGGCGGCTCAGATGTCGCACCTGTATGCGGGCTACTGAGATTATACTGAGGACCGAAGTGGTGCATAGGGCGATACATATGCACGCAGGCGCGAGCTCACGCACGTGCTCCTCGCTTTGCGTTTTGACTAGAGCTGATGTCTTCTAACTAATGCACGCGCACGTGCGTGCTGGGGAATGGAAACATAGCTTCTGGGAGCTCTGCCTGTGCCGTTTTGTCTTTGTAATAAAACTGTGCGGACGGCGGACATCACAGCACAAGCATGGCACAGCATATGGCACAGGATAGCGCAGGGAAACACCGAAGGTGCGTCGGATGATGGGTCCAGGAAGGGGCATTTACACGGGCGATAGCAGGGTGATGTATGGCGGTGGATGACGTCAATGTGTTGATGTGCGGGGTGTGGCAGATGGTAGCTGGTGCGCAAAGCAAGTGAGTGATTGACGACCGGCAGCCGTGATCCCCGTGTTGGGCGCTCAATGAAGTTTAATTTTGTATATAAAGATGCTTCTAGCGCAAGTAAACACACACACGCGCACACACACGCACGAACACGCCCAGTGAGGTAACATATGGTTGGTGTGGCCACACCCCATGGGGAAGCGGAGGACCGGACGCTGCCACTAGTGCTATAGCTCTAGTCCCATTTTCAATTGATCGCCTTGTCGCCCATGTTGACGGCGAGTTGTCCATGTGGCCCATCATGTCGTCCCACACCTTCCCAAAACCGGCCCAGGGTGGGTAATGTAGGAACAGAGTGGCTGCCCTCAAAAGAAATGTGTGCGCCTTTGACAGGCTGCTGAAGGTGCTGTGTAGGGAACAAGACGAAGGGATAGGGAGGGGAGGAGGGGAGGAAATGGATCGCGAGGACAACAGTAAGGACTGGCTGTAGGTGACGGAGCTTCATGGCTATCGGCTTGGAAGGCCCTGGAGGTTTGGCGCGTGTGCCATCTGCGATACATACATCATGCACACGTGCGAGAACACACATGCCATCCAGAGACTTCTAAGCCGATAACGGGCTTCGGTACGTCCGCACTCAATGCCAAGGTGGAGCCGCGAGTAGTGTGTCCGCGTATGCTAAGCTATCGGGTGGACGGTTTTGTGCCGTAACATGTGTCCTGTCCGGCGGCCGACTGCAGTTGCTTTCTTGTCCGAAGTCGGAAGGCAAGTAGTAACGACATGTGTACATACAGACCAAACATGCGGGTGAGCACTACAAGGGTTATCCTGCACGAGCGAGGAGGGACTTCAATTGTAACACCGACCTTAAGTAGCCCTGTCACTGTACTATGCCACAAGATTTCCTCAGTTTCAACAGCAGCAGCTGGATTTAATGCTGGGGTTGACAGTATTGTAGAGGCGAAGTAATACATGATGATACGTTCGGAAGGACTCCGCCATTTTCACGGGTTGGTATCTGGTATGCTAGGGTGAAGCTGATTGAGTGCGCATGCATGTAGCACGTGTGCCTAGCCTACAAGCTACAACTCCCCTGTGCTTGCACACTCCAAGCAATCAGTAGCTGTCGTCGCTTGGGCTACTACTACAGCAACACATACACATATGCCAGCACCTCGCAATGGGTCATGTATGTCCTTTTGCTGTTAAAAAATCGGGTTTGCACAGCAACAGTAACGTGTCAGGGACGGCCTCTGTCTGGGCCTCTACCTGAGTCGAAAACTGCAGTGTGTGTGCGTGTCTGTGTTGTGTTGTAGTGTTGGCTGGCTGCGTGCCTGTGGCGGACTTGCTTGTTGCGGCCTGCTGTGGCGCTTTATTCGGCTTGGTAGCTCAATGGTGGAGCGTCGGATTCCAACACACGGACCTATCCGAAGGTTGTGGGTTCAATCCCCACCCGGGTCAGCCTATTGGCGCAGAAGGCGATCACGACACACCTCCCACCTCCCTCATGGACGGCCACCTACGAGCACCAACTACACAGACTGGTATGCCTTAGCAGTGCGCCCTGCCATTCGGTGGAGACCCGCCTTAGCCGGAGCCTGCGGATGATAAGGTCCGCCAACAAGTTCAGCTGTTGCTGCTGTACAAGCGCTACCATCACATCCATCCTTCACAGGCGTGCCCACCTGAAACCCGGCAGGAATGCTGCCTGCATGTGCTACATGCTGGGCACTCCAAGAGCACTCTCAAGAGTACATGCTCTTCGCCTTCCACGGCTTGGCGCTTGCAAAACCCTTGCAGATCTGTCCTCTGCTCACGTGCACGCGCACACGCACGCGCACGCGATCCCCCCGTAAGCTCTATGTGTGTCTATATTTTTAGCGGCTCGCAACCTGGACGAAACCGCATAAGCAACCGCTGCATTTGGCGCGTGATAAAGCTCCTGGCATGCGGCAGCCGGCTTTGTGGCGCACGCAGGTGCACATGGTGATGCGTGTCCGGAAGGACTCGAGCCGGCGATTTTTCCAAAAAATTTGGAACCATTTCTCGATTTGTGCGTGTCATCCTTGCGCAGGGGCCATGCTAATCTTCTCTGTATTTTTCCAATTTTAACATTTGTGCCGAAGCACGTCAAAAGCGCAAATTCAGTATAATATATATACATATAACATGCATATGCACAGAACACATACGCGCCCACTGTGGGACATCGTTGCCATGCGGCCGTACTCAACCCTCGCACTACTCAACAAACTCGTTATCCTCACACCACCCCTGCACATTCCTACTGCTTCCTCCACGCCGTGGAGGAAAATCTTGTCTCTCGCTCGCTCACTTTCTGTCTCTCGCTCGCTCGCTCACGCA